GGAACAGCTCCTGGTGGTATTAGCGATATAGGCGGGTTCAGTAAAGTGTCTGACTCGTGAGTATTAATCTTTAACGTTGTTTCATTGCGCTGTATTCTATATTCATAGACTATGGGGAACATGGTTAACCCTATATAACAAAAGATAAAGACAGAAAGAGAAAAAGAGAGCGCAAAAGGAAGAGAATGAAAATGAAAAATGGAGGGAAATTGAAAAGCGGAGCGTAAAAGTAAAAAGAAGAGAAAAAAAGAGTGGTCAAGAGGGTTTACAAAGAAAGAGGGGAAGAAAAAAAAGAGCAACAAATAGTGAAAGAAAGCGAAAAATAGAGAACAAAAGAGAAAAGGGTGATAAAATAGAAATATAGAGTAAAAAGAAAATGTAAGTGAGAAAGAGAAACTTAGAAATGACGAATAACGAAGAGAACTTAGAAGAAAAAAAAAGAAGCATATCTAACACTTTCGCCCCAGCCCCTCAAATTTCGGTGTCTTACTCTCTGGGTTGAGGTGTCTACTCGATCTTAACCGAACTTAAGGAAGTGGCCATAGGTTCCATGGGCATCTGTAGATTATTCGACCGGTCCGCTGGTTTAATCCTGCTTCCTGCCCACGTTGTGATTTGTTTGATCCAGAAAGCAGAAGTGATGTTCACACATTTACGGTCGACTGAAGATGTAGACACGGCTGGAGAGTCTGCGCTAAGAAATTTAGAATGCAACAAAAACAAAAAATATCTGCAGAAAGCCGGACAAACAACTATTTGATGGTTGAATTGTTAATGCCTTTTATATAGCAGATAAGAATAGTAGAGAAAAGAAATGGGTTACAGAAAAGAAAAGTATTTAACGTAAAAACTCATAGACTGGATTCTAGACACAGAGAGAGTGTATGTGATTATTTTGTTGTTAAATCGTCTCAGAACAATATATGACTCTTGCGATGGAGGGATAAAAAGATTTCTGTGCGGGGTTTAAGTTATAGTGGCGTTCCTCCTCCCAACGCTTGCCCGGGCCAATTCTCTATTCGCTTTTTTCAGCATTACTACGCGTTTATATAGATAAACCCGGCTGATTATAACTGACCCTCGGACCTACTACTTCGCACGTGATTATCACGGGGCTCTGGCTGCTTCAACCAAAATTCATGTGAATTCCAAAGTTCCTTCTAGCTTACTGAGCTCTATTTCAATTTTTAATCGATAAAAATTATTTCATCCATTTTCATTGTCTTTTGATGACCCAGATTCAATGGGTAGAACTTCTGCCCTAGATTAGATTTCTCTATCAGTAAACAAAATGTTCTGATTTAATTTTCTATTCAAATCTACTCCAATTTCACTAAAAAATATACGTGTGTGTGTGTGTTTGTGTTTCACAGACTCTCTTTCTGTCACATATAGACGAAGAAAAAAAGGAAAGATATAGCAACAAGAAAGAAAAAGAGGAAAGAGAACGCGAGTGGGGAAGAAGAAATATGAAAGAAAAAAAAGAAAAGCAGAGGAAGTAAAGAAAGATAATGATGAAGAACTAGAGAAAGCGAAAAAGATGAAGAAAGCGAAAAAGATGAAGAAAGCGAAAAAGAAATCGTGAAGAAAGAGGGAAAGAGATCAAAGAGAGAGAAGTGATAAGGAATGAAAAGGCGAAGTAAAATGAGGAAATGTAAGCGGAAGAGAAGATGGAAGAAGAGAGAAGGAAAAAGAAATGGAGCGAGAAAGAACAAGGGAAGGAAAAAAGTGAGGGCAAAAACAAAAAGAGAAGGAAAGAGAAAAATATGGGAAGCAGAAAAAGGAATCTCTATCTATAAAAGGCAGGATGTGTATGTGCATGTGTGCGTGTGTGTGTGTAACGAATGCACGGCCGCAATTTTCGACGGATTTGCACCAAAATTGACATGCACATACTCCAGGTTAGTGGAAAGGCCATGACCGACTTTGCATTTCCCAACTCCCATCGATAGTAGAAATAATCAAATTTTCCATGCTTCTACGGAAGTTTTCATGTAGTTTGCGGTCATTCTGGACTGGACAGAGTGAGAGCCAATAGCTGGCTGCCACGAATAGGCAGTAAGATTCTATTGGTCAGCGTGAGAGCCAACAGCTGACTGACACGAATGTTAACTGGCATGCTAGCATGCAAAAAAAATCGATAGCTGCATTCGTCACGAGTGGGAAAAATTTAAATCTGCATGGCACTTTACTCCAATTGGCTCATTCGCTTGCTTAAACTCAACGTTGATTCTGATTCCACAGAACTGGGTTGGGTGTGAAAAAGTATTTGTTGTTAACATTCTTTTTTCATACGGTTTTTCCAGTTACGAGTCCTTTTTTTAAAGCTGGTCGTTTTGTGTTCATTTTGTTTAGTTCTTTTTTCGTAACAGATTTAATATTTAGTATAGAGCTTAGAAAAAATTCGCAGTGTGAGATAGGCAAGAAGTAAGGCATGTAGAAACATCAGCACGGCAAAGGGCACTCCTTTAAAGGCAAGGAAGGGCAAAAATATTTTAAGTCAAGTGATAGCGATTGCTGTATGAGTCGTACGATTTTTGAATCAAGCACGGGCAACGCCGGGCCATGCTGCTAGTCAAGAATAAAAAGAAAGAAGGCGAGAGTGTAAAAAAATAAGAAAGAGAAATATGGTGTAAAAAAAGAAAGAAAAAAGAACGAGAAAAAAAAACGAAAAAAGAAAGCATGACAAAGAAATAGGAAGAAAAAGCAAGAAAGATAGAAGAAAAAGCGAGGAGGACTAAAAAAATGAAAGAAAAAAAGAAGATAGGCCAAGAAAGAGAAAATAAGACAATAAAGAACAGAAAAGAGAGAATGAAAAAGAGAGAAAACAATGAGGACATGGAGAGGAAGTGAAAGAAAGCCAACTGCAACGGGAAAACCTTTCATGCAAAGCAATGTCTTCGATATACTCAAAGATTTTTTTTTTATCATTTCACTCCCAAACAAAACGACAATACCTCTAAGACGCAAGGGTTGTGGGTACTGGGACTAAAAGAGAACGAGAAAACCTTTAGAAGGAACCGGAAACCCAATCCTAAACAGAAAAAAAATGGATAAACCTCTATTCTTGTTCAACAGACGGTGAGAGATCGTGAACTGGGTGATAGGCGAGCTTATCTAGGCCTATTTTCTCTTACTCATTCTAATGATCTTTTCATTTCCTTCAGTATTGAGATAAGCGCTTCCTTCCTTCCTTTCTTCCTTCCCTCCTTCCAATGTTTTCAGTAACCAGGTGCCTGCAGCACACCAGCCAATTCCAAGAATTCTTTTCTTTTCCCAACCACAAAAGTCAAATTCATAACAAACATCATATTTCTTACTCCCTAGGAACCCTTTATTTCGTTCACTGGGGTAGACTGTTGTAGTTCCCCGTGCCATGTTTAAAGGGTTCAGTTCGACATTCCAAGCACCTGAAGAAGGCCGAAGCGTTCAACGACCGAAACGTTGTAATAAATATGGCGATAAAGGCGAGGACAATAGGCTGAATAATGTAAATAGTGTATATAATACCTCATCTCAGAAATATAGACAGCAATAAAATAGTTATATCACACCAAGTGCGCACATATATGAATCTCAAACTAAGCAGTACAAATGGTTTAGTAAGATTTGTCAAACTTTACCTTTTAAGATATAATTAATATTTGTTTTGGTATTGATGCATCCAACCGAGTGAAATGCTAATGTTCATCAGTCAACCTCGTTACATCTGCTGACTTTACGTATTTTAGATTTTATAATAAGTTCAGGTAAAATATATGACATAATTCGCTGAAGTCAGTCCTTTTTATATACGGCACTATTCAAATCGGTTTAAACACGGCAAATTCAAGTTAAAACATAATTACTGCAGCAGGTTCATGGTCGTTCTTCTTAGAAAGTTAATTGCAGGTATTTACACAAAAACGCTCGGATATCAAAAGTTGCCGTATTTTTTATTTCACTGATTTTCCTAAAACTTATATTACTATTAGATGCAAAAATCAGATTAGCCAAATTTTGGCATTTTACTTATATTTAGTTTAATTTTTTTATATAGTAAGTTTAACTACGGTCTATTGATAATTCCATATAAATAATTATAGCTTAGCTCATTTGCGGCACTGAGAGGCGGCGGGCCGGATGAACTGACGTCGGGAGCCCGGATCCAGCCCGCGGGCCGAAGTTTGGCGACCCCTGCTATAGGCCAAACATGGGAGCAGCGAAGAAGTTCTAGAGGGAATGTATACAAAACGACACATATTTAACATTAGATAGAGGCAGGAGAAATTTCTGGGGCACATAAATTTGGAAAATCTTATAGCCACAGGATAGATTGAAGACACGAGGCAGAGAAGAAAACAATGCATGACCTACTTAGCGAGCTTGTGTAATTGGATAGCCGAACAGGGATTAGGAGAGACAACAAAGAGATATAATTTATTTATAGCTAGAAAGTACGGGAAATTGTGGAGGACCATAATCACCGACGCCCGGAAGGGACACTAGACATAAAAGAAGACCCTGGAGCCATATACAGTTATTTATATCGACAGTTAAAGAGGGTAAAATCTTGCCTATTGTGTATTATTTTGCATGGGTATAAACATGTTTAGATGACGATATTTTAAACCTTGATCTATGAAATAGAGTATGCTACTCCACTTGAATCATATCCTGGGAGTCATTCTAGAGGCTGTTAAACGATATTCAGGTATATTCTGGGAAGGGATTAATATGTGCTGGTACACCGGGCAACGTTGTATAATCCTGAAGAAGAACTCGCAATGTAATAGTCGTTGTGTTGCTTAGTCAGGCACAAGGCCAAAAAAATATAGCTCCTAATGAAGATTGAAGCCACTACTCAGTAGTAATAATCAATAGAGGCAAGCTTGATAAGCATTATCCCACATCAATTCCCCTATTATTTAATGACGCTAGCATTGTTTGGTTCAAGGTCATGGTTCTGGAGAACCCACTGAGAATCAAACCCAGTAGCCAATAGACACAATTATTCAGACTTACGACCACATCAGTTTGAAATACCGGATCTCGTACGATACCGAAGTTAAGCAACGTCGAGCCTGGTCAGTACCTTGACGGGTGACTGCTTGGGAATAACAGGTTTTGTAAGCTTGGATGTGCGTGTGGTGTCATGGATAATGGCTTGGAATTGTTAATCGGAGAGCCGAGTACCAATTCCAGTCGCTTATATATCTATATATATGTAGATATATTCGCTTAGACGCAAATATAGATATATTCGCTTAGACGCAAATACCGTTGAGAAAGGTATTAATCCACTTCTCTCTCATCCATGGGTTCATTACTAAACCATTATTATCTAAAAAATTTCATACAATCTAAAATATATATTTCTGGCTTTAGATAACCAGCAAAGTGTTGATAAACCGTAAAAAACAAATCAATCAATCTATAACCTACATAATTATGAACCTACGCCTGGATGCCCCAGGAATGTCAAGGTCGGTTTTTATTTTTATCTTGCCATGGATCGTGGTAAAAATAAATAAACAATGAAAAAAAAAAATAACGGAATTCTTCGAAGGATCTAAACAAGGAAATTGTGATTGAGAAAATTACGAGAGTTCATAAATAAACATCGTTTAGCGGTTAAGTTTCGGGTTGAAGAATCAAGAAAACAAATTGTTTGGCAAAAAGAAAAAAAGAATAAGAAAAAAATGAAATGGAGGCAAATGAAAAGCAGTGAAAAATGGAGGAATGCCGACAATGATCAAACAACTTCCGGTAGGAAACGGCTCTGTCATGATATTAAGATAGTAACATTTTCTCATTTAAGAATGACTTAATGAGATTCCATCGGTGCTAAGCAGAGAGGAAATGACAAAGAGGACTATGAAAAAAACAAAACCAAAAAAAAAAAAAACTGATGGCTGACCAATTCAAAAATAAAATGTGCATCTAAAGATAGAATAGAAAGGTGGGCTGAAAAGTTCGTAGGCTGACTACGAAGGAGTGGTGCCGGAGCTGCGAAACCTTGCGGGCATAATTTCAACTCTTATAAATAACTGTATTGCTTATGTCCAGGTAAACTATTATCTGGCATCTGGCTGTAGATTGGTCTATAGTTCTTTCGACACAAGATGACGAAAACAGTTTTGAATTCTATCAAGAATAAAGGAGACAGAATTCTATTTTTCATATAACATACGAAGACGGCCTGAAATGCTCATAGGAGGGATTATAAAGGAGTGATGCTAGAACTGTGAAATCTTGCATGCATTCATTTCAACTTTTCTTATTAATAACTGCATTTTTCGTTTCACTCACGGTGAACTCTCATCTAACTGCTCCTAAGAAGACCTTTAAAAAGTAACGACTTCTCTTGAAAATGGACAAAACTTGGCACGGTGGTGGTACCAAGTACCCGCAGAAAAAAGGTTTCAGCCCTGAAGTACATTAATGCTGACATGTTTGCTACATTAGAGGACTTATACAAGAGGAGGCATGGTAGAGTATGGGATAGCGGCTCGGATTGTGGAATTGGAGATCCGAGTTCAAATTTCAGTCGAATCCATTACATTATTTTACCTGGAAGGTATGAATCATCTTCTTCTTCCTCCAGCTATGGGTAAATAAATAGAAGGATAGACCCTATAGCCTTGGATGTTAACTGGTCTACCGCAGAAAGAAATGGGAGCCTACTACGGGGAAAAATCTACCTCGTCAGTCATGTATCGAAAGATATATGATCGCCTAAACGTGTATCACTCATGGCACATAACTGAGTGACGAGAAATCTGTCCTTTTCAGGACAACGCTATTCTCACCTACACCTGCTTGGACATTCTAGCAGTTGACTACTACCTCTACGCGCTGCTGGCAAATCTTATATGTGTTGTTCTTGTTCTAAGTATTATCGTTCATTACCAACCTTCATGTGATTATTCTATTCAGTAACCTTCCCTCTTGGATTGAGGAAACGGTGAGTCGAGTTCGAATTCCAGTCGAATCCATTATACTCACTTACGTGCTAATACCTTTGGGAAAGGTATGGCGTCCCCTCTTCTTCTTCCAGCTATGGGTAAACAGCAGGACAGGCCGGGTTCTATAGCCTTGGATGGCAACTGGTCTACCGCAGAAAGAAATGGCAACCTACGGCGGGAAAAAAATCTGCCTCGTCTGTCATGTATCAAAAGATACATGATCGCCTAAGCGTTTATCACGCATGATACATAACTGACTGACTTATCAACAGTGCAAAAGTGGGAGCCTTAGTGAGAGGGGGGAGAAGAGAGTCTTGAAAATGACCCAAGGTCTAGAAGTCCTCCAATTGCTATCACCGAGGAAAACATTGATCGTGTTCACCTCATGGTGATAGATGACAGGCATTTGATTATAAATCAAATAGCCAATGCTATTAGCATATCACCTGAAACAGTTGAGAAAATTATGCACACTAAACATAGCATGACGAAAGTTTCAACTCCGTAGGTGCTAATTCTTCTGACACCTGATCAAAAGCGCACCAGGTCAATGATATCTTTTGAAGGCAGATCCAGATGGTTCCCTAACCCAGGATGAGTGTCGGGATCATCACTTTGAGCCAGAGACAATCAATGCAGTGGAAGCACCCCTCCTTAAATAATTTTAAATTCCGTTCCAAAGAAGGTCAATGTTATTTCATTTGCGGGGTAGCTCAGTTTTTTGGGGATGCAAAATCCTTTATATTTATGGACTATATTCAAAAGGGCCACACCATCAATGGAGAGTACTAATGAGGCAGTGTGTGCTAGGTCAAAGTGGAAGCGGGCGAGCAATAATTGACCATTAGTTAAAAAAAAAAAAAGAAGAAATTCCTAGACATGGGCAGTGGAACGAGAACAGTCTAGCCCTGGAAATCAAGGGTTCAGTTCAGAATTCTAAGTTACCCGGATCAATATACACCTGAGGAAGGCCAGAGGAAACAACAATCGAAGCTTTATGATAAGAAAAACAAAAGACAATAGTCCGAATGCAATTTTTTTAAGCATTCAACCCCGAGCAAGGCGGGAAGTCACTAGCATGCAAAGGGTTTCAGAGTAGGAGAGAGAACAAAGAGGAGTGATAGAGGAAAGGATGAAGAGAAGGATAGGGGATAAACAAGACCAAGTGTCCAGGAAACCTGAGGAAAGGGGTCTTGTTCCATCAGGACAATGCTCCAGTACACAAGTCCTTTGTTTAAATGGATGCTGTGCGTGACAGTGGCTTTGCACTTCTCTCTCTTCTTCTGATTCGATTTGACTATTATCTGTTCTACAACATGAAAATAACATTTGGTTGGAACCAGTATCCAAGTAATGAGGACGTCATATCTACGGTGATGGCCTTTTTTTACCAACAGAATGAAAGTTTCTTCACCAATGGGATCAAAGCACTACAATGCAGATGGAAGAATTGTGTGAAATCCAAGGGGGATAGTGTTAAAAAATAAATCTCATTTGGTCCCATTCCTTGAGAGTACATGGGTCAGATTATGAACTTTTCAGCCGACCCTCGTAGCGGCAAGAACGTTGCTGTGCGAATTGCTTAAGAGATCTCTAGATATCTTATTAATTACTTAATATCTCATTTGTAATTAAGCACCAGAATGCAGTAACCAAAAGGTTATCCTTGAAATCTGAGGATCTGGCGAAACACGCTCTTGCTACAGTTGATCTCAATGTCCTCAAGTGTCTTTTAGATCAGGTTTACGTTAGATTCGTTAATTTTACAACATATCAACACTATCTGGATTATTTAATGTCGAATATAAATAGTATGGTGGCGTAATTGATAGCGGCTTGGAATGAGGAATCGGAGAGCCGACTTCGAATTCCAGTCGGATCCATTTGGAAAGGTATGTATCCTCTTCTTCTCCTACCAGCTATGGATAAATAGACTGGGTTCTATAGCCTTGGGCGGCAACCAGTCTAGGAGAAGGAAAAACTCGGAATAAAAAAAAAACGTCCTGGAGGGGTTTGGGCACCTTAAGGCTATTTTGCACAAGAAACACCACTTCTACTGCAGCTGCAGTACATATGGTCCACCTATGGGTCACGGGATAAAAAAATAAATACTATAATAAGTGATATAGTAATTGTAAGTTCAATCCCTGAGTCGGGCAGTGTGTGCTAGGACAAAGTGGAAACAGGTGAGCAATAACTGACCATTACTAAAAAAAAAAAAAAAGAAGAAATTCCTAGACATGAGCAGTTGAACGAGAACAGTCTAGCCCTGGAAAACAAGGGTTCAGTTCAGAATTCTAAGTTACCCGGATCAATATACACCTGAGGAAGGCCAGAGGAAACAACAACCGAAGCTTTATGATAAGAAAAACAAAAGACAATAGTCCGAATGCAATTTTTTAAGCATTCAACCCCAAGCAAATCGGGAAGTCACTAGCACGTAAAGGGTTTCAGAGTAGGAGCGAGAACAAAGAGGAGTGATAGAGGAAAGGATGAAGAGAAGGATAGGGGACGTTACATTTGAATAGTTGGAGATTATAGCTATCAGGAAAACAAGAAATAGGGAGGGAGTTCCACAGGCGAGAAGTGTGAGACATGAAGCTATTGGAGTAAAAGAGACGGCTACATTTAACAGTTTCGACAGTGAAAGGGTGAGAGTAAGATGCCAGCCTAGTTGAACGCTTAAATTCATGAAGTCTAGGAACTAGCGAAAGCAGCTCATCGGAGCAGTTACCTTGAAAGTATTTGTAAAAAAGACAGAGGGAGGCAACGGCACGTCTGTGAGAGAGCGACTGCAGACGAGATGCCATATCAAGGCCAATTACATTGCATACCCGTCTTTGGATCTTATCAAGAACCTTGAGAGAAACAGAAGGGACACCGGACCATATATGGCAGCAACACTCCATGCAAGGGGGAATGGTTGATTTGTAGATTTGAAGGATCGACTCCATCGAGAAAGATTTCCTGGCGCGGCACAGGGAGGCAACTTTTCTAGGGGTGGACGAAGCTATTGACTCAATGTATTCGTTCCATCTCAGGTCAGCGGACAATGTGAGACCGAGCAGTCGCAAAGAGGTGCTCTCGTGGAGTTGAGCGTCAGACATTCTAATGGGAGGCAGTGACGGTTCTCTCTGGTGAGTAATAGAGAGAAGTTTTGTTTTTG